CCCAAATCAGGGGATCTACTTTTTGGGGGGAATCAATTCACGTTTGTAGTCACGCTTGGAATTACTGTTCCTCCGGTTCTTCCAGACATTAGCACTATATTCCTCATTGTTATCTAGCATGTGGAATTCTGGTAAACTTGACCATCCACCAAACCCCTGTCATGCTCATCCCCATTACGCATGTTGCTGTATATTGCATTGCCGCACAAAACTGAAACCCGTAAGCCTGTGCAAGAGGTTTACAGGACCCTGCTCTCCTGCATGTCCGGCCCAGCAGGGTCAGGGTTTAGAGGGCGTTGGTTGGGGGCTACATAAGGGTTCAGAAAGCGGTAACTTGGACCCCAAATACTTGGATCCTTCTCTCAAGCAGCCTTGGATAAGAAGGATAAATGAGCCTAAACCCTAACCCNNCCCCCCCCCCCCCCCCCCCCCTAGTTCAAGAAGGGTTCGAGGACAATTGCCAGACGTTTCGAGGTCTTCGGACTCGCAGCTTGAGCTTGCATTGGGGCTTAGGGCTTGCGTCCAAGAGAAAACAAGATGGTTTGGGCATTGTTGAGCCAGCGACTCGTTCTGAGTAAGCCACTAGTAAACTAGTGTACTATCTTATATCCACCCATAGTCTCTCCATAATTACCTTAAACCCCTGAACCTTTGCCTTCTACTCTTCTGATCGCCGTAGGGCGAGTTCTTTTCATGGTTGCGGAGGAGGCAGCAGGGAGTGTATTGGGAGAGGGCTCGGCCTTGAGTTCGGCAAGAAAGAAGTTCTGAAACAACACGAGTATCGAAGCCAAAAATGATTAGCAACTTTGTAACGCTCTTCCTTGCATGGGTGCTTAATGTAAATGTAGGGTTCTCTGTTTCACCTCTACAGCATAACATACTCCAAAACCTACTCCAAAACCGCAAGTCATTAGGCCCGTATATACGTCACCCAGCCCTACACTTAAGCTTCAACTTAGTAACTTAGCCCGGGTACTATGATAAAGATACTTGAATATGGGTACCATAACCAGGGTACTATACCCTAAACCCTAAAGGTACTACAAGGGGTTTAGGGTTCAGGGTTTTGCGTTCGGGGCTCCTTCAAGTCCGGGGGGCGTCCTCAAGCTTAGGGCTTAGGGCACCCATACAGCTATACTCTACTAGAATGTAACTTAAAGCCCGAGTCTAGTCGTCAATTTTTTCTGGGGATTTTGAGATTGGGAGTGGGGCTTTGTGGGTTGATCACTTCTGGCATTCAGAGTTTGGGACAGGGTATCTATAGTCCCTAAACTTCCTACACTGTCCTGCACTCTATAAACCCTCAGGCCCTCAAAAAAACCTATAAACCCTAAAAGCCCTAAGCCCAAAACCCTTTGTTTTCAGTCTGGGGGCTCACTTCTGGGGCTCTGGGCCTCTCTGACCGGAGTTTCACCGCCTCGAGTCCCCCTCAGCCCCAAACCGCAACCCCAACCCCAACCACTTTAGGGTTTAGGGCTTTAGGGTTTTAGGGTTTAGGGTTCAGGGTTTAGGGTTTAGGGTTCGAGCCCAGGCAACAGGCCCTGACTTCGAGTCCCAATGGTCTCAAACATAGACGGAGAGGGCACCAGGAAGATGCAAACAACACCAAAGGGTCCAAGTACCTTTATAGTAGGTACTTAGTAGGTATTTGGGCCCCAAAAGTATAAACTATACTAGTACTTGGACCCTTTGGGAACAGTTCAGGACACTCTTCACGAGCCCGATCGTTACAGGGTTTGAGACTTGCGGAGTCGATGCGATGCTGTTGAAGTCAACCTTCACAGCGGCTCTTCTTGCAGTAAATCAGTAAACTCCGACAAGTCATGCACTGTGAAGGAGCCTCAGGTGAGCAGTATCACCTTAAAGCCGTATCTTGATCCCAATTCCTACCCGATCGGGCTTAATGAGTTTGAGTCTCGCATAGAGACCTCTGAGACCTTGCAGACCCCTATAATTCCTGTGAGTCCCTTTCTGTAGAAGTCTTGAACTCTTCTGTTAGGAGCTCTACAAGTATGCCAAGAGCGTGTGCAACTCCTTCGGTCGGAGGCGTGGCATGACGCATGACATACGCACAGACATATATGCATCCAAACATATATGCTAGCCGTTGTGGTGACCAAAGCTAAAACTCAATTACAACGTGGCTTGTTGATGCCACCGACACCCCATGTGGCTGCAGTATGGCAAGGTTGGGCTGCAAGCACCATCTGGCTGTTTTAGACTATTTGGGCTAGTCAGTTCGGGTGGGGGGCCTCCAGGTTAAGACGTGAGTTCGAACATTGTTGACGAGGACCTCTCATATTCCTGACATGTATGTATGTATCTAGTTCTGGCTGCTTGCGGCCAGTAGCATGAGCAGGGCAGCTAGTAGGCAGCTGATCCTCGGTACTGTTATGGGGAGATACTTCCGTAAGTCATAAAAGTAGTTCTTGATACATAAGCCCTACATTCTACTACATCAGTACTTTGGGCCCTTCGGTTGCCTTCGTTTTCCGATGAGACCGGGAGCCAACATAACTGTAATATGTACTGATAACTGATGATAACAAAAATCAATGTCAATGACCATAATACAACTAATAACAAAGATGACAGTGCAAAAGCCCAATGTGCTGTCCTGCGGACTCTTGCTTCTGCTAAATCACATGCCACCGCTTTGGCCGTTCCCCAAACTTACATCCTAGCCCTTCCAGCAAGCTCTACAGCCCCAAGCCCTAATATAGAAGCTTGAAGAGTCAATAGAACTAGGGGCCCCAACAAGTACCTTTACTATTTTTGAGGGCTCCTTAAACTGTTACAGTTACGGTATGATATGCCCCAAAATTCTATTCTAACTGTTGAGGCCCCTATGTTATCCACATTCCTCCTCTGTAGGGTTCCTTGGCAAAAGGATTTTCAGTTTTAGACCCAACCCCCCACCCCCATCCTGCTTAGTAAGGCCCTCATATTATAGAACCCTTTTTGACTGCTTCAAAGGAACATGAACCCTCGTCGAATATAGGGGCCTTGATAATTAGAATAGGGCTTTGGGGTATATTCTACTAGACGTATAATAAGGAACCCCCCAAGAAAAACGTAGCTGATGATTAAGGCCCCTATATTCACGTTGCACCCTGAACTCGTTTCTGTCGGCAGGCGTGGCATCTCCGTGGCACGCGCCTCAATGAGTTTGCTAGCATGGAAGGTTTGGCATCAGGGTTTAGGGGTTCCTGTTTACGGCCAGGGTCTGTAAGATTCATCGTTCCGGGTATACTGCGTAGACTTGTTTTATAGTAGGTCCTCGGTGCTTTGCAGGTTTTATGGTCTTAGCTGTTCAGGGTTTCATGTCCCAGTTCCGTTCTGCTTCTTGGCACCGTAGTAAAAGTGAATAAAGGGAGAAAGGACACCCTTATTAGCAAGGGGGTACTAGGGAGACAGCGCAACCTGTTTTTAGAAAGCAGAAGCCGCGCTCTCCACGGTCCAAGTGCCACTATTCACATGTTCAGTGCTAGGTGGGTCTGGAACAAAGACGGTTATAGGGCCCAGAACTATAATCTCAAAGGTCCACAGCTTGGGGGTAAGAGTTTAGTTCTGACTTCGCATCTTAGTTTAATTCTTTAAGTTAAGTCACTACAACAAGGAAACCCTCTTATTTACTATGTATCTCCATTCTGTTAACTTTAAGTTCCTTAACAGCAACCCATTGTTTCTCCCAAAACGGCGTATGGCTCCAAGCCCTGAGTGCAACATCCTTCAGGGTTTATGGCTTTGGGATTAGGGGTTCGGGGCCTTCTGACGTGGAGCCTTTCCCCGAAGGGTCTCTAAGTGATTGGCCGACAGCTCTGAATGTGCATTTCTCTATGTCTACGTGTATCTGCGTATAGACATGTGTATATACATATACATACATAATACATGTATATGCACATACATGCCTACAGAAGATTCAATGTTAAACGCATGCTCTACACGTGCAACCTCGATCAACAGAATTCCCTTGTGCGACTCCTGACACCTACTTGGAGGATCATGGGACTTAGTAACTCGGGTTAGAAATATGGTAACTATACTTATAAGTAATAATAACCCTTAAGGTAGTTATAACCTCACTTACTAAGTCATAAGTAACTATAACCCTTAAGGTAGTTACAACCTTACTTACTAAGTCCCTTGATCCTCCAAGTACCCTCTTCCCGCCAGCCAGGTGGATCTACGGGAGCTTGACGAGAAGCGCACGACTCAAAACGAAATGGGTGTTAGGACTTTGTGGGGTGTATGGGTTGTAGGCCGTGGTAGCAGTTCAGGGATTGAAGAGTTTGGGGTTTGTGTGACTGTAGACTGTAGACATATCTCGTAATCCGAGATGGTTTCGGGTTCAGGAGATTTAGTGCGATGCCCGCAGGTGTTTAGAGTTCTGGTTTGGATCCTCCACGGGCTAGAGGCTTACTGAGGTTCCTGCAGACCCATGCCGAGTTCTGGGCAGAGCTTTGAGTAGAAATGGCACCCTCCGGATCGGCTCTACTGTTGTGCCTAAGGAGCTTTAGTGTAGACGAAGCAGACCCCTTTTCCGCGTTTTTCACCGAAGTAGAAGATGACCCGTATTTCCCTCTTTCAACTTTGTGGGGAGCTTCATTTGAGCCTTGCAGAGGCAGAGCCGCAGGAGGTTTCAGATTACATCTACTACACATTATAGACTCTAAACCCTGAAGCCTAAACGTCTCTCTAGGCCTCTTAGGAGTTTCGAATCCCACAAGGCGTTGTCGGTGGGGCAACGGATCCTGCCAGGAAGCTTTCTGAGACCCCCCTCAAGCTTCGGGTTTAGAGTCACGTTAAGGGGTTTGGACATCTCCGGTGTTTTGCAGATCTCAGGACTCCTCATTAATCGGAGGGCCCCTACACAGGCTTGAATAATTAGTAAGAGTATCACCACGCATCACCCGTTATCTTCCCTACATTGCTGTCTAAAGCCCCTACATGGTCTGAGCCTCATGCATGGAATCCTAAACCTTAAACCTTAAAATCCTAAACCCTAAATCCTAAACCCTAGGCCCTAAATCCTAAGCCCAAAACCCTAAATCCTAAACCCTAGGCCCTAAATCCTAAACCCTCAACCCTAAATCCTGAACCCCTTATCCTTGGAGCAGGTTTGCGGTGGACGTCCGCCATGGTGGGCAGCAGCTGTCGCTGGCAGCAGCCAAGGCATCCCGAAGCTCAGGGAAGGTCTCATAGGACAGGCTCCAGGGTCTTTGGGGTTTAGGGTTTATGGGGTTTAGGGTTTATAGGGTTGAGGGTTCCTTATAGTAGGCCCTAAACCCTTGGGGTTAAGGGTTACGTACAGCAAGCCCTAGACTTAGCCGCGACGTTTAGCCTGAACCTTAAACCCGGCGTGGGGTACCAAAGGCTTCTATGGCGGCATGAGCTGTTGCTCGAAGGATCGGGGACTTGGTGGGTAGGCTTCCCCATAGGCCCCATAGTAATTCAGTTTAGGGATTACCTAATAGGATTCTAATACAAGCCACAAAAAGGAGCTACGATGGGGCCTATGGGTCTTTATCGCAAGCCAAGGCACTTGTCAACTTACCTTGCGGCCTGCATGCTGAGCTTCCCAGTCCACTGAACTCCTGTCGGGCAACCCTCGGAAAGCCCGCCCACGTGGCCCCAGAATAGAGCTCAGAAAACTGATGTAGAGGTCCTTGTTAAGGTCCTGCTATGCGAGGCTGTTTTGTGGCATTCTCGATTTCTGCAACTCCCTCATAATGTCATATCGCAAGCGAGCTTTGGCATCCGGTGGGAAGTTGGGGTTCAAGGACCGGGTAACGGGGGCTGTGGACTTGGTTTTCTTGCTCTATTGCTGTGCTATGTTGCAGGATTCTCCAGCGACTCTGGTCTGGTCAGATCAGCACTGAAGTAGTCGAAGATGGGGTGGCAGTAATCATCGTCTGTATCCGGCATCAACAGAAATGGGAGTTTCCGAAAAGAAGGGGTACCTTATTTTGGGGTCCCCATAATAAGGACCCTATTATTTGGGGTACTATATTAGGGTCCCCTATTTTTGGAAACTCCCAAATAGTAAGACACCAACCTAGACTGAATCCTGGAAGGATACCGAAGTATTACCAGCTGCCGGCTGAGCAATCTCGCAGAGCACGGACACCCCAAATTCTTAGTTTTGTCACAGCTCACGTAGAACATCAGCTCGAAGCTAGTAGCTCGGTGAACGCCATGACTTTCCGAAGCTTTCGAGCCGGGCGGCGCCCGGCTTCTCTGCTGGGTGCCTCCTTGACTTTTCTAGCCTTCGGATCTGCGCTGGTGCGCGCGCCCTTTGCCGATCGCATTCGGGTGCCTGAGAGGGGCTCCGCTGGAGGGGAGCCTGCTCCAGATCTTCAGGAAATGCTGCGATGCCAGGCACTTCCTTTGGCAGCCTTGTCTTTGGTTTTTAATATAGGGGCCTAAATAATTACCTATACTATTCTGAGGGTTCCATATTACAATTATAGTAGAATATACCCCGAAAACCTATTCTGATTATGAACTACAGTAGCTATGCTGCCGGTCTGAACGGGAATCTTGCTTCGAGCGTAGCAGCCTCCGGCTTGAGGTTCGTAGTCTATGTGTGCCACGAACAGTATGGATGTAACATAGGGGCCTAAATAATTACCTATATCATTTTGGGGCTTCTTTATTATAGATATAGTATAATATACCCCAAAACCCTAGTCTAATGATTAAGGTCCCTACATCAGGCCTGGAATCCCAAAACCCTTTTGATCCCTTTGCAGCAAAACTGCCCTTCTCACGTTCACCTTGAATTACTTATATTATTTTGGGGGGTTCCTTATTATAGTTCTAGTATAATAAAATATACCCCAAAACCCTAAACCCGAAACCCTAAACCCTAAAACCATTTTGATCCCTTCACCGTGGAAGAATCCTTACTTTCCAGTGGAAAGCCTCTTTAGGGCTGGGGACAAGGAATAGAGCTTCAAGTAAGGCGGGGTAATATATTATAGGCCTGAATATTTACCTCTACTATTTTGGGGGTTCCTTATTATATAATTATAGTAGAATGGGCCCCAAAACCCTATTAGAGTTATTTAGGCGACAGTCTACCAGCTGTATCAAATTATTCTTATAGCTTCCTAACTCCAGCAACCATCTAGTAACTAGTGCTTACAAAAACTTACACCTGGAGCCCTAAACCCTAAATCCTAAACCCTAAACCCCTAAACCCTAAACCCCAGCAGGGGGTCTGAGGAAAAGACATCCTCCGGAACTGGGCCAACCTGGCGGCTTTGGGATGGCTCGGCCGAGCCTATCTCTCCTTCGATTGGCTCTCATGGCTCTGGCCGCAGCTCTTTCAGCTGTCGCCCTACGACGACGCTCTGAGCTTGCAAGGCTTCAAGGTGCAACTGGAGGATGGTATGGAGGAGTTCGAGATGACTTGCACGTTAAAGGAGAGCAGTGTATTAGCCCGGGGCCTTCCTCTGTGCTTCAACTTCCGCATCGCGACTCGCGGGGCAGCGAGGAATGAATCCTTCTCTATCACAGGTGCGAGCTTGCGCCGCATCGGATGTGATCTCTTGGAGCGTTCCCAACGCGTGGAGCCAGTGCCTTGCAGCATCTCGGCCTACAGCCTCTGCGAGCAGATCAACAGCAAGTCGGATGTCAAGAGGTTGCTGGGCCAACCTGGGGGCGCAAAGCATCAAGCGGTTCAGGGCTTTGGGTTTAGGGTCTTGGGTTTTGGGTTTAAGGTTTTGGGCTTTGGGTTTTGGGTTTTAAGTTTCAGCTTTATGGGCGCAGTACCTGCATCGTTCAAGCTTCAAGGTTACAGTACAGGGTTTTCGGGTTCAGCTTTATGGGCGCAGTACCCGCATCCATCCCTTAGCCCGAGCCCTTAAGCCCCCAGACCCCAAATTCAAAATCCCGAAAAGCGCCCTTCTCCTACACGATGCGCGTGAAAATCCAGAAGCCACAAGTCCGGATGAAGCCCGAACCAGGAAAAGTCTGAACCCCCCGAAGCCCTAGACCCTTAGGTATCGAAGAAATCAAAAACCTTACCTTAACCCAAAGTAACCTACCTTTAGTAAGGACTTATATAAGGAAATCATATTAAAGAACCCCTAAAAAGGTAGGTTCTTTAGGGATAATTTAGGGGCTTATATAAGGAAATCATATCAAGACCCCTAAGAAGGTGGGTTCTTTAGGGCCCAGGTAAGGGAAGAAATCCGTATCTCCAAGGCTCTTGGTCGAGTCGCTGACGGAGACCCGTGGGAGTCATTTAGCATCCTTAAAGGGATCCTTAAAGGGATCTATAAGGTTTCTATGAGGGTACTATAGGGGTTCTATAGGGTTTAGGGTTTAGGGTTTAGGATTTAAGGTTTAGGGTTCAGGGTTTAGGGTTTAGGGTTTAGGGCTCTAAATTGGGATCCCTTTTGGGGTCCTTTTTATAGGGGTGCCGGACTAAATTGGGGACCCCAAGAGGGACCCTAATTCGGAGAAGTACCCTAAGGGTTGAGAGTTTAGGGGGGGTGTAGTTCGGGTTTTGAGGCTGCTGGTTGAGAGTTGAGCACCATGTCATTATGCTTGGTGCGTCTACTCTTAGTGTGCTGTGTTCTGCTTATGCTTATCGCTGCCGGCATTCCGGTTATTGTTTCAACTAGGGTTGCCCCAACCCGTAAACCTTCAACCGTAAATCCTAACCTCTGGTGCTCGTTGTTTATGACCTGACCCTTGCTCAGTTTTCTGTTGGCGCACTGGAAGCTCAGGACGATTTTCGGGCCCTTGGCCCAAGTCGCCGAGGCAGCGGAGGCAAAGGCTGAGCTGGAGTCAAAGTGGCCTGGACTTCCTTTCGATTATGGGCAAATTGGGGCTTAAGATTTCGGATTTCGGGCTTCTACTTCAAGCTTCGTGATTTTTTTGGGGGGTGCTCGAGGCTTCAGGGGTTTAGATCCCGAGGAGTTTTCCAGCTCAGGATTTGGGTTCCTCTGGTTTTGAGGCTCAGAGTTCTTGCTCCTCGGGCTTTCCAGCGAGGGTTTACCTGCGGAGCAACGGGGTCTTTCGGGCTTTTGTTAGGGCTCGGATGGGTTTTTAGGTTAGGGCCGAGGGTTTAGAGTAGAGGCTTTGGGTTGCTTTTCTCTGTTTTGTTTCGGGTTCTGGGATACGGAGTTTCACATGGGGTTTCGGGCCATGATGATCGCACGTGTGTCTTACGAGGTGGGTTTGCTTACAGATCCTGGCCTGCGCACCCGAAGTCATTACTCGATGTTCTGGCTTCAGCTACAGTGTCGAGAGTTGCGATTCATCTTCCTTAGAGAAGCCCACAGTACCTGCCTTCCCCCCGTAAAGCCCAAGCCCTAGCACTCCCATAGAGCGGGACTCCGTGAAACACCCGTCTACTGAACTCTCGAAACTTCATAGGATCCTGCCGGGACCCTCAATTGCGGCTCCTTCTCTTAATTACCTTGTCTTCTTATTCCAGCAGCCTAGGCACACGTAAGCCAGAAAACAACAGACTTCGAATCATACCCTAAACTTTCCCTAAACCCCTAAGCCCTAAAACACAAAACCCTTAAAAAAAAAGTCTTTCCCTAAACACGAAACGGAGAGCCCAGGCAAGGAGGAGCCCTTGGTTTCAGCCCTCGCAAGGACGGGGAGGGGGGCTTACGTTCAGCTGGGAGCGGGGTCGCTCAGATCGTTGCTAGGGATTTATGTAGGACTTGGGTTCTAGGACGTCCGGTTGTTCATTGCTGTTTTGGGGATTGAACATACATAGGAGCCTCCGCAACGAAACTATCATTGTCATGCCCACCTCCCTTCAGTTCCCCTTTTGATCGTGCAAGTCTGTTTATATGTCTCACAGAAACCGCCCCGCTCCTGTTCTAGTAGTTCCGGCTTCTACACCTGAGACCCTTAGCCCCACACCTTGAACTCTAGCTCTTCAACAGGACCTTGAATTCTAAGCCTTAAGCACGAAATCCTAAGCCCGGACAGGAATTCTGGGCGCGTGAGGGCTCTGCCGAGAAGTGGCTGGAGTGTGTCAACGGCCACTTGATGCGATGTTGAGTTTGCTTTGTTACTGTTTGGTATATGAGTTGCGTTTCGTCACCTGATGGATTGACGATTTCTGAGCTGGGGCTGACGAGTTTTGACCCTCATTGAGAGATTGAGAGGGTGATTCTGCCCCATAAGTCCCAGATTCCAAGAAGAGTTCACCTATCATGTTCTCTTCCTTCAACCATCGAAGCTGGCAGAATTTAACACCTCCATCCCCAAACTCTAGGCTACAACCCTGGGCTATCGGCTGCTCAGTCCCAACTGATTTCCCGTCCTGTTTTTGCTTATAGAGTTCCCTAACCCTCCAGGTACCTACTATATAGGGTACTAGAGCCCCTAGGGCCCTATATAGTAGGTACCTGGAGGGTTAGGGCTTATTTTTCGTCTCGATTCTTCGCTTGACGTTCCACTTTAGCTTCATCGTTGGTTACACAGGATGTTCTTCGCAAGTAGGGGTACGGGTACATACGTTCTCTAATGGAAATTGTTTAGGGTCTAATGGAGGGGAGATGGAGGGTCGGCGTCGATACCTTCCATCAGGGGTTAGCTCAAGGCAGCATCAAGCACACCTCAGCTTGGAGCACCCTCCACTTCATGGCCCAAACTTTCAAAGAAAGTGACATAGAAGTCATCGATCTAATCGTAAACTCTGCACACCCAGAATCCGTAAACCTCAAGCCCCTGGAAGCGTTTGGGGTCCCAGGCTACTACTTTGCGGAGGCCCTCGTCGATGTGGTGGGCTTTGTGCCGGGCGGCGGTTCTGGCAACCAGGAGGGGGTTCGGGGTTTAGGGCTTCGAAGGGTCGCATAGGACTAAGGGTTTTAGAGCTATGGTTTTGGAATTAGAAAAAAGAGTTTTTCAAACTTGGCCTAGGGTTTCAAGCTTTGGGCCTGCTTCCTACGCACCATTCTCGCCCGGTCCTGGGGCCTTCAATCAAGCTAAAGCATCATTACTGGGGGGAGGGGGGGTTGTTTTTCTTGAAAGGGGGGGTGGATGAAGGATGCCAGTCTGAGCTTCTTTTTTTTGTTGGTATAAGTTGAAAGTACAGAACATGCTGAAGCCGCATGTTAGTCACGCAGCATGGGACTATATTGTACTTAATTGGTTACTTGACCGCTGAAGCGGAAAGAGCTTTAGGGTATAGGGCGACTTTATGATGATATACAGACTAGAAACATGGGTTGTGATGTCTCGACAGTAGTTCTGCGCCCTAGCTCAATGTTAAAAGTACGAGGCGTGCCTGGATCCGGAGTCTTCAATGACCCTGAGCCCGAACTTACCAAGCCCCAATCCCTAATCACTGAACCCGAAGCCTTAAACGCCATATACATCCCTCGTAAAACACAGCCCAACCATACCCTTTCAAGCTTGATATAATATAATATAGTACAATGCATAATAAAGCAATATAGTATATGATATAGTATCATTCAATATAATATAAGACAATAAAGATATGATATCAGTATATAGTATAGTAAAATATAGCAGAATATGATATAGTATAATAACCTATAGAATTATAGCTTACATTCTAATATAGTATACTGTAATGTAGTATAATATATTATACTATTCGTTCTTTTGCATAAAAGGAAGCGCTTCCAGAAATGAGCTTCTTGTTCTACTACGACCCCACAGAGCCTCTGAACTCCGAGAATGATTTGATGAATGTGAACCCGGAGGTCTTGGCTCCTTCAGCTTTTTGGGTTCAGGGTTTAGGGGTTTGGGGTTAGCGGTTTAGGGTTTAGGGTTCAGGGTTTAGGGTTTAGGGGTTCGGGGTTTAGGGGTCTAGGGTTTAGGGTCTAAGGGCTTTTTGATCTAGGGGTTTAGGGTTTAGGGCTTTTGGGTCTAGAGTTTAGGATGTCCGGAATATTTTGTTGGCGGCGCAGCCTTAGGGTGCGGATGATCTTGCAGGACTGGGTTAGATGAAGCAATAGCTTTAGTCCAGGGTTCTAGGCTTCAGCATTCAGGGTTTGGGGTGTTAAGCCGATTTGCCCATACCATTATTAGTTGCTGGAAAGCACCTACCATGCGTTTTATATAAGGTTCAGCGATAGAACAAAGCCGGAAAGCCCTTTTTCCAGGTTTGTCTTGATGTGTTTAGGTTTTATATAGGACCTTAGGATGTTCAGGCCCTTATAGCAAGATTACCACGGACCAATTTTATGAGAGCACTTCTACCCAGACCCTGAGGTGGTCTGCTGCTACTTCCCTGGCTTCCGACCGACCGATGTGCTGAAGAGAAAAGTCCCAACGCCCAAAACCCTAATCCCGAATCCATAAAACCCAACCATCCCCAAGGTTGGGCGTTAACGTAGAATGCTTAGCAGGAAAATGGAAGCCTTTGAGAATGACCCCCAAGAAGACCGAACCACTCCAACCACCCAACCGCACTGTAGGGTATAATCTAAACTGTTCAGCCCTCAACCTTTGAGCATGGACAGTTGATACCTTCAAAAGACCTGGCCGCCACCCAAGAATCATTTCACGGAAGATCGTCACTGCTCTTGGCGCTGTTAGGGAGGGTTGTCTAGGGCTACTTCATAGTGGCGCGAAAGAGTCGGTCCCGCGCCTTGCGGCTGGTTCTGGAGGTTTAGTCACACTACCCAAAGGATCCAAGTACTAGTATAGAATATACTTTTGGCCCAGATACTTACTAAGTACCTACTATAATGGTACTTGGACCCCTAAACCCTAAACCCTAAACCCTACTATAATGGTACTTGGACCCTTTGGGCTAGACGCCACGTGCGAGCACCTGCTGGACCCTTCTCTTCAACCAGGATTTAGGGTTTAGGGGTTTAGGGTTTAGGGGTTTAGGGGTTTAGGGTTTAGGGTTTAGGGTTTAGGGTTTGTGGTTTTTGTGGTTTAGGGTTTAGGGTTTAGGGTGTAGGGTTTAGGGTTTAGGGGT